ATGAGCACACAAAAAACCCTATTTTTGTGTGCTCATTACTTTGCCAAACTTTAACCATTTCTGCTGTTAAAGTTTGGCAAAGTAACGAGCACACAAAAATAGGGTTTTTTGTGTGCTCAGGTGTCAGGTGTCTGCCTTGGACAGAAACACAGGCAGATATTAAATTTCAACTAGAATGGTTCAGGTGTTTCTGAAAAAGAGATTAGGGGAAAATACAGTGTATTGCCCATGTTAAAAATCCTTAGAACCATTTCGCTGAGAAGTTCTAAGGCCTTCATGCTTTAGAGCAGAAACTTTAACTTTACCAGTGGGGTCATCCTGGTGTCAGGAACGTGTCTTTTGCCATCTCCATGAAAATTCATCCACATTTCTGAAAAATCTCAGTTTGCACATGCTTAGTAAAGACCTGTTAGAGTTTGACGTTAAATTCTCCAAAGAATCCATCTGCACTGAGTATACTCCAGCCCCTCACAGCTGCTATCTGCGACCATATTGTGCATGCCTCATCCCAACAAAGCTAGTGAGTATGCTCTATCCCATGGCTGCAGGGGCTGAACAAGACTTTCCCTGCAGATGTTGCTCTAGGCAGCCAGGGGCCACTGTGGTACCAGGCACAGGAACTGGGAGTAGGGACACTGTGTCTGTTGTACCCTCAATGCTCCCTCATGGCTGGCAGCAAGGAGGAGAAGGAAACAGCCTAATTGGAATGCAGAGATGTGAGGAGGTGCAAGAAACTGGGAAAGAACAGGGGAGAGGGGGGTGCTGGAGTCAAAGTGCAGGGGATGGATGGGGGTAAGGGGCAGGGAAGCAAAGAGGGAGGGAGCAGGAGCTAGGGGGGTGGAGGTTTGATGTGGCAGGGCAGGGACAGAGGAAGATGGATAGCATGTGATCAAGTGATTTAAAAGAGATAATATGCAACTGTAAAAAGAACAGGAGTACTTGTGGCACCTTAGCGACTAACAAATTTATTTGAGCATAAGCTTTCGTGGGCTACAGCCCACTTCATCGGATACATAGAATGGAACAGATAGTAAGGAGATATATATACACATACAGAGAACATGAAAAGGTGGGGGTTGCCCTACCAACACTAAGATGCTAATTCATTAAGATGAGCGATTATCAGCAGGAGAAAAAAAACTTTTGTAGTGATAATCAAGATGGCCCATTTCAGACAGTTTGACAAGAAGGTGTGAGGATATTTAACATGGGGAAATAGATTCAATGTGTGTAATGGCTCAGCCATTCCCAGTCTCTATTCAAGCTTAAATTGATGGTATCTAGTTTGCATATTAATTCAAGTTCAGCAGTTTCTCGGAGTCTGTTTTTGAAGCTTTTCTGTTGCAAAATTGTCACCTTTAAATCCGTTACTGAGTGACCAGAGAGGTTGAAGTGTTCGCCTACTGATTTTTGAATGTTATGATTCCTGATGTCAGATTTCTGTCCATTTATTCTTTTGCGTAGAGACTGTCCGGTTTGGCCAATGTACATGGCAGAGGGGCATCAATTTAGGATTGAATCTATTTCCCCATGTTAAGTATCCTCACGCCTTCTTGTCAAACTGTCTGAAATGGGCCATCTTGATTACCACTACAAAAGTTTTTTTTCTCCT